TCAGACGGTAGGACGAGATTCTGTCTCAGGGCGACTAATGGGCCTTGCTCACACAGGGAGAGAGAAAACACTGAAAACACACCCTTCACCAACACTGTTGCATTTATTGTAGATGTTCACTACAATTACCTATTACTCGGCTGTAGCACTTTGAATTTGTACACCGGACTCGGGCCAACACCGATTTAACGTCCGGGAGGTTACTACTGACTCCGGTTATTCCCTTTGGCTACTCACTCCTGTTACTCACTGTTGATGTCTCACCGCTCTTATTCCCTTGTAATGACTCACTCCCGCTATTTCCTTCTGATAACTGACTGCTCTGGAGAGGCAGAAGTCCCGACGGTTCCGGGAACGCCTGGATTCCTCTCCTCTGAAATTTTGCTGATTGGCTGAACCTAAAATTTGGGTGTTTCTCTCATTTGCATTCAGCCAATCCCTAACCAGATCCATTTTAATTTGGGCCTAAGTACAACACGGTCCTTCTGACAGCTCCTAAATAAATTGAGGTACGCTAATGATCGCTCGGTACGCCCCTTCGAAAATTATTGCGACTCGTATCTGTCAAGTCTCAAATTTTCAAAGACTCGAACCGTCGAAGTTAAGCATTGAAATCCCCGGAAAACACAGCGGGATACTTCCTGCTCCGTTCGGGGTTTTCAAGTGACCTGCAGCTTGCTTGTCCCTCAGAAAGACCAGATGTTGTCCTTGGCGTCTGCTGGTGCTGGGGTCAATTCTGTATCATCTATTGTTAACAGCAGTACAGTTCGTTTACATGTAGTACACTGTAATAAAAAATGTAAATCAACAACATTGCTGAGGTTCCTGCATGGTGCGGTTACAGTTTGTATACAGGTAGAGGCCTTGCAACGAGCTGATCACCCGCCCAAGGAGTCCTACCGAATGTGTAAAATCTAGAAAAACCGAAGTGATCGGAGAAGTTCATGGAGGTATGCCTAGGCCCACTGGGGCTGTAGTGCCAAGGGAAAAAATCTTACAGACACCGCAATATGATGACAGTCTAATGATCTTGGGAATCGAGAATCAGAAATCTGATAAAAACCTAGTTACAAAAATTATGGTAAGCGTGGTTTTGAGGTCCTTAAACTTGTGGTTGTAAATGCATGGCAATACATACAACCCTTTGTACATTTTACGATAAGAAAATATAACCATAAATACAAATATATTTCTTAATCGGGTGATAATAAGTAGTGAGTTATACGATATTTACGAAACTGCAACCAAGACACAATTCAAATGGATAACGTAACAGAGACCTGAAAATCAATATAGCTGCTGCCTGAATATAACCACAATATGGATCACAGTGTTGTCTGATCATAGAAAACCAAAAAATGGTTATGAGGATGCCTCTCTGATGGAATGTGACGCCGTTCAGTAGGGCAGAATGTTATCGAAGTTGCGGAGAAACTTTTTGCATATAATTCCGGGGAATGCCTTTTGCATCGATTACGCAAGAAGCAAACTCACAACTCAAAGTTGACAAAAACACGTATGCCTACCTAAAAACCATAAACACTTCCGTTTGAGTGATATATTATATGTAAAAAAGTAAAGTAAATCTATCCCTGTAACAGACCGAGAAGGCCCATAGAGTTGTGAAACGTTGAGGTCCCACATTATCTAGACCATCGGCTCAAAGATGGCCGTAAGGTTGTCAGCCATACGTGCCGGCTGCGCTTTACTCTCCAGGAAAATTATTTAATTAATTACTGGTACCCATTTCTGTTAGAGGCTGAGTCGACCCCAGGGCCATAGTGCGGCCGGAAGGATTAGGGCAATTGAAAAAAGAAATCCAATGGCATCATCGGGATTTGAACCCGCGACCTTCCGACTTGTAGCATATTACCTCAACCAACTACGCTACCGCGTGCCCCCTCAGATTAGTATACATTAGTATAACATTATTATAACTTATCTTTCATTCGTATTTCATAGAAGGGTGTGAAAGTAACGAAAACGTAATATTCATATTAAAGTATCTATAAACATGTCAGTTAATATCTTTCCTTGTAGATATTTGCAACAAACTTCTACATGAGCATCTTCTTCGGCTTCCAACTCCTATATGCTACCCTGGTTATGGTCGCGTGCAGTCAGCTGCAGAAGCTCAGAATGAACCTCTTGGACATAAAGCAAGAAATGGTTCCATCAGGAGCTGACTCTGGCAGTGACGGGGGAGAGGAGCCAGGTTCCCAGTTCTGCCGCATGCAGACACAACTGAACGAGTGCGTTCGGCACCACCAAGCCATACTGCAGTACGTCATTACATTCACAGTACACGTGAGTTCATTACAGGAAGCGGTAAAGGTAAGGCATTTCCTCTGCTCAATTAGTTAACCACCACGCCATGAAGACGTTTGCAAGAGTGGTGGGATAGCTATGCTTTACTTATCCTCGACAACAGTTGGAAGTGAGTGGGCAGCTACACGACCCTGCCGCTTTATATCTGGAGAGACTTCAGGCTAACAAATAGCTGGTTGAGCACCAGGGACTCTCTGGATGCCGTGGAGAAGAGAAAATTCTTGCACCGCTGGGAATCCAACACCGGTCGCCCACCCCGTAGCCGGGCGTATATACCGCCAGAATTATACTGACTTCCACTCCTGACAGATTGCAACAAATCTCTGAGTTCACTTTTTACAATTTCAGGTACTTGCGAGCTCTGGAAGACACAATGAACTTCCTCTTTTCTGGTTTGTTCCTGATGCTGCTTGCCACACTCTGCTTTGCTTCCTTCTCCGCTGTCGCGGTAAAGTATCTCTTTCTCACTAGTCAATGACGTTTCAAGTAAATTTCCTCCGGTCGGAGCACTTATTCCTTCTACATACTAAGGCACAATCAGATAAAGATTTTTTACTATTTTATTGCTTAACAAATTCTACATGTCGTGTGTCTAAAGGAACTGAGGATTTATAAGTAAAAAAAAGTAAAATAAAGCTATCCCTGTAACAGCCCGTGCAGGCCCATGGGGTCGTGAGACGTCGAGGCTCCCACATTTTCTAGACAGTCAGCTTACAGACAGCAGTCAGACTGTCAGCCTTAAGGGGCCCATACACGTACGAGTCTGACACGGCTCGGATTCAAATCAGTCAAACTCGTCCGTGAATGGTTCGCCATGCTCATGCGTGCATGGTGAAATTAATCCGAGCCAGGTTCCAGATTCAAGCTCGCCTAGCCGGACTCGCGAGCCACACTCTTACGTGCATGGGCCCCTTTATGTGCCGAACGCCCTTTGACCCAAGGGTGACACATGATTCTCATTTCTTTCTAAGTCTGGAGTTATATTAGGGCCATAGTGCAGCAGGAAGGATTAGGTCAAATAAAAACCTAATAAAATCGGTAATCGAATTCCAAAACTTTCGGCATGCAAGCACAGTGTCTCATCCAACAACACAAGGAAGTTATAAAGACAATTTTTACCTTAATATTTCCTAGAAATTTTTAACTCATTGAATTAACTTGTTATTTAATCTCTTATTCAAAAATGAAACTCATTAAATATTTTCGAAGTTACAGTCTGAAAGTAAAAAAATCGATCACATATATTTCCGTCAGATGAACGGAATAAATTATCAGATATCAATGAATGAGCGATATTTCATAAAACAAATTATGTTAATTCAATTCCCTACAGAATCATACGAGAATACAGAAAAATTATAAGCAAGCAGTAATTCATAACTGAATGTTGTATAGATTTCCCTTTTCTTTTTGAACAGCCAGTCTCGTCATGTAGACATCCAATCCCCAAACGCATTGCAATAATTAATAAACATATTCACGGCAACTTGCCTTCATGCCTTTCAATGTGTGATATGCCTATGTTTCAAATGCTAATATGGCTATTTAGACAAAACTTATGCAACATTTACGTAAAGAACTCTCTAACCGTTCTAAATATCCAAAATTATTTCTTCTGTGGCAATAATGCAACATAACCGAAAAGTTTACTTTAAGTTCAATGAGGCCGCGCCTTAGCTCAAGAAGTTAGTCGCTGGCTTCCCACCGCGGCAATCTAGTGGGATTTGTGGTGGACAAAGTGGCGCTGGGACGGCTTTTCTCCGAGTACTACAGTTTCCTATGCCATCTTCATTCCACCAAATTCTCCATCATCATAATCACCCGGGGCTGGCTACAATACGCCAGTCAGTGGCCATCGTCCCGAGTGGACCCAGTTGGACTCCACCCCCCGACTAAGCGAATTGAAAAATATTAAGTTCAATAAATAATTGATACAGAGAATAATTTTTATGCAACCTTCAATGTGCCTCAAAACTACATTCACAAACAGACTATATAAAGAAGAATGTAGCTTTAACTTCTTTCCCAAAGAAATAAATAAGTGTAATTGCGGGAAAAACAATTGTTTTAAAAGAAATAAAGTAAAAATTAAGGAAATAGATTATAATTTTCCCGTAAACTAAACACATCTATGAAAAATTCATTGGCTTGAGACATAATCCGAAAGGTGACTCAAACATTTTGAAAAGGATAAACTGACGAAAACCTAAGGAAAAATTTCATTAATATTATCCTCCATATGTAGTAAGTAATGCTGTTAGTTAAGCACATATAACTATATAAATATGCTTACACAAATAGCTTATAGAGCCTCACAATTAACTGTCCACATTTGTACGTAAATTGGAGAAGAGGAAAATTTAGAAATATAAGAAAACATTTCAGTAGCTTAAGCACAACGAACAAAAACACGAATGGCTGACTTTACTCTCGTCTCATAAAGTATGCCTCTCATTCAGGCTACTCTTGCCTTGACACATACATATATATTCCAGGTAAATACCTTTATCTAACGATTTTCATAAACTCTAAAATATATATATAAACACCTCATTTATATGTGAGTGGACCTGAATACGGTTATAAATATTTGAACAAATTTGTGTATGTAGACCTGCACGTTTCTAAGCATATGTTTCTTCTTATTTAGAGCTGGGGAGACATAACCGACTTAGCGCAAATTCTCTACATATATGCACTGATGATAAGTTACGTTTGTCTGTTCTGCACACTTGGAACGGAACTCACGCTGCAGGTATGTGGAAAATATAATTATATTTGTACGCAGTGACTGGTTATGTTCCAAGTTCGTTCTGAAACACCTGTTACATGCGTAGAGGCTACTGTTCCAGGCTGAAATGGTGAGAGACGCTGCCTGGGGGTGCAACTGGGTGGGAACTCCTGTCCCATTTCAGCGCAGTCTGGCCTTCATCATCGCCACAGCCAACAAGGAGTTCACACTCACAGCCGGGAAATTTGTTCCCGTGTCCAACTCGACCATGATGAGTGTAAGGACATGCGAGTCCATAAAAAATGGAATGATTTAAATTACATTAGGCTCATTACATGTACCTCCAAAGTCCACAATTCTTTAACATCTAAACATTCGAGAATGCGAACATGTGACTTCGGAAAATACGCCGGGTTGTTACTCAGTAAGAAGCCAATATTTCGAACACTGTCCTCATTTACAGGAACACCGTTTCGATGAGCTGATGAACTTTCAAGTACCCTCTAACACAACAAGATTTCATCATTCATTCATTCATCAGTAATCTGTCAAGACGACAGGTCGACAATCTCTTCCAAAACAGTTCCTCCACTTGACGCGATCTAGAACTTTCTCCTCCAAATGAAAATGTCATCTTCTGTCCCCAAGATCATCCAGCATCTTCATACGTCTTCTTCCTCGTCTTCTGGTCACTTCTATCCGCCCCCCTATCTTTCCTTTAATAACTTCTTTTAGGAGGCAGTTACCGCGTAAGATATGACAAATCCAATTAGCCTTCCGTTTTCTTATTCCTTGTAGGACATTCTTCTGCTCAATGACTCTAAATAACACTTCTTCATTTCTCACATAATCGGTCCAACTGATCTTCTCCATCCTTCTCCAACACCACATTTCGAAGCTTTCCAGGTGTTTCTGATCTACTGCCTTAAGTGTCCAAGTTTCAGTCCCATACAAAGCAATGCTCCAAATGTAGCATTTCACTAGTTTCTTTAAAAAATTTAAGTCCAATCTGCTGGTAAAAAGAGTTTTCTTCTTGCTAAATGCAGCTTTTGCCATGGCAATTCTAGATTTAATTTCACACGTACGCCTTCCATCATCTGTTAGGAAGCTACCCAAATATTTAAAACATTTCACATTCTCCAGTTGTTTTTTGGCCTATCTTTATTGTGACTGGGGTTGGTTGTCTCGAAATTTTCATTACTTTTGTTTTTGCCACATTCATTTCCATGCCATAGCACCTTCAAAGTTCGATTAGTCTATCAATCATACTCTGTAGCACAGTTTCTTCCTTAGCCATTAACACAAGGTCATCTGCATATTTCACAGTTTGAATAATTTGCCCTCCTAATTTGAAGTCTCCAAGCCAACAAGCCTTATGAACTTATAAAATGGAACCGGGCCCTTCTGAGAACCTTTCAATTGTGCAGCTACTCAAGAACTTCTCCAACATTGTATGGAACCCGAAGGTTTATTACAGTGATCACAAGACATTCTAACGCTATAAGATCAATTTTAATATTATTCACCCACACACATGCCTTGGACTTATCGGTGGTCTCCTTCCTTCTGGCTCTCCACCAATGTCCTATATGCATTCCTCCTCTTCCCCATTTGTACTACATGCCATATCCATCTCATTGTGCTTCACTTCATCATTATAATTATACTTGTCGAAGAGTACAAGTTATGAAGCTCATTATGCAGTTTTCTCCAGTCTCCTGTCACTTCATCTCTCTTTGGCCCAAATATTCACCTCATCACCCTGTTCTCAAACACCTCCAGTCTGCGGTTCCTCCCTTAATGTCAGAGAATAAGTTTCACACCCATACAGAACCAAAGACAAAATTATAGTTTTGTGTACCTTAACTTTCTTATACTTTTGGACTGCAGATGAGGAGACAAAAGGTTCTGGACTAAAGAATAGGAAGCATTACAGAAATTCAGTCCTCTCTTACTTTCCTTCTGAATCAGGTTTAGATCTGTTATCGTTGTTCCCAAAATATCTGAACTGCACCACATTTTCAAAATATCAGTTTCCTATCTTTATGTCATCATTTTGCCCTGAATTTTGGTGATGAGACAGGAACTTATACTTAGTTTTCTCTGTATTTACTTCTAGACCAACATCCTTACGTGCGTAAATTAAAGTTTCTGGGTTATTATTTATGGTACCTATATTATCACCTAGTAGATTCACATCAGCTTATGCGTCCCGCTTAAATTCAGTCCCACCTGTTTTTCCTAGACCTTCCTAATGACATATTCTGAAGCAAGGTTGACAAGCAATCGCGATAAAGTATCCCTTATTTCAGACCATTCTGGATGGGAAAATTATAGACAAATATTTACCTATACGGACTTTACCTTACGTTTCGTTTAAACGCATTTTAGTCAACATAACTAGTTTCATGGGTTCCCCAAACTCCATCAGAATATTTTACAGTACTTCCTTCTTACCTGAATCAGAGGCCTTCTTGAAGTCTATGAATACTTTATGTACCGTCTCACTGTACTCCCATTTTTTCCAGCATCTGAAGAATGCAAATATCTGATTAGTAGTTGATCTCTTACGTAGAAACCCACATTGAAGTTTCCCAATAATTTCATGTGTGTAAGGACTTAACCTTGAGAGAAGAATATTGGATAAAATTTTATATGAAGTTGATAGCAGTGATGTCCACGATAATTACTCAAGTCAGTTTCGTCACCCTTCAGATTACCCCCATTATTTGACTCGGGTCCTGTAATCACCGCAATCTGGCTTGTTTCCTTTGGTCTAGTAATTTTGAGCGACCATCGTTAAAACATGGCTTATTCTTCTTCAGTTCATAATAACTTGGACTCTCTTTGGCACAAACTTTTATATTCTCTCTAATAGTTTCCCAAGCTTTATTAACATCCACCTCAGTGTCTACGTTTCCCAAAGCTGCGAACTTATTTGATATTTCAACACGATACTGCATCTTACACTCTAAACAAAAGGAAACGTGATCCCTGTAACAGGCAGTGGAGGGCCATAGGGTTTTGAGCCGTTATCTTCTATACAATCGGCTCACAGATGGCGGTAAGGTTGTCAGGCATACGCGCCTGCCGCCCTGTACCCCCCGGAAGATTCCTGGCACTCACTTCTGTTAGAGGCTGAGTCGACCGCAGGGCCATAGTGTGGCCGGATATATTAGGTAAATTGAAATAATCCAAGTCATTGGGACTCGAACCCGCAACCTTCCGGCTTGTAACACAGTGCCTCAACCAACTACGCTACCGCATACCCGCTCCTTACCAACTACCTCGTTTAATTTCTTGAGATTGAACCTCTCCATATGAACGCTCTGCCTTGTTTGCTTACTCGCTGTCAGTCCTTCCCTAACCTCTGCCACCACCAGGTAGTGGTCAGTACCACAGTCTCCTTCCCTGTATAATCGGACATCAAGACATTTGAATGTCGTCTCCTATCTATCAAAATTTGGTCAATTTGACTGCGTGTTTTCCACATCAGGTGATGTCTAAGTAAATTTATGAATCTTACGATGTGGGAACATTGTGCTTTTGACCCTAAGATTTTATGATGTGGCAAAGATTACTACGTTAACTCCATTATCATTACTAATTTCATGCAAACTCTCATTCACAATGGTTGGTTTGAAAATAACTTCCCTAACTGCTTTGGCATTTAAATCTCAAAACAAAATATTATATGGCACTTTGGGAATTCATAAAACACATATTCTAGTTCTTCCCAGAACCTGTTCTTTATATTATCAATTTTATCTTCTGTTGGCGATGATATCACACCAGCGACCTATTAGTACTATGTATGACATCCTACCACTAATGAACTCGACCATCTTAACTGCTCTAGCCGCGGCATAGCTCAAGCGGTTAGTCTCTGGCTTACCACCGCAGCGGCCCGGGTTCGTTCACGGGGTCTGTTCAAGTGAGATTTGTGGTAGACAAAGTGGCGCTGGGGCACGTTTTGTCCGAGTACTTCCGTTTCCCCTGCCAATCTTCATTCCACCAATTGCTCCACAATCACCCTCACCTATCATCAGGGGCTGGTACAATGGGCCAGAAGTTGTCGCAGTACAAGGGACTTAGTCCCACCCAGCTAGCTATAAAAAAAATCTTAACTGCTGACACGATCCTATTATGTACGGAAAAACCTGTACCTAATTCGTGATTTTCGTTCCCCAACCCAACAAGTATTTTGAGTGATTAGCTTTTGAACATTGTATATTGTCCTATTTTTATTATAAGCAACACTTCGGAGATTGGATTTTGTCTCCTTCCTCAAAGACAAAAAAAAACGAACTCAGTTGGGCCAAATCGATAACAGCTAGTGCCTATGTCCGGATATCAGAACCAGCATGAAGCAGGACATATGAACACCACACACAACAGAAACCATGTCAAATGCATGAGACCTTGCATGAACTCAATTCCCTGGTGTTTTAAAAATTTCGTCTGAACCCCCGCAGATAGTTATGTTGTGTTTCATGCATACAGGCTGTCCTGTGTTGGTATTGTGCCGGATAATAGGGACCGAACTCAGAAGGCTCTCCTTCTGCAAAAGGCCGGAAACAGAGCTCCAGTGTCAGAAGAAATGAAATTATAAATAACAGTACTACGATAGGCAACGTAAAGAGAGTCGATTATTTCAATAATATACAATCATCATGAATTTATGAGATCTTAAGACGCATTTAGTAAACTACTGTGTGCGTAACAATAGAATAAAATGCAAATAACAAAAATAAGTTAAACTGCAAACACACAAATTTCCATTAGACTATTCCACGAACAGTTGAGGTACGAGAAAATATCTCCTATTCTCAAAAGAGACTGGAACAGCTTATACAAATGTCCAGTGCACATGTACCTATATAAATTGTTTAATTACCTATCTCATTAGAAGGAACTCTCTCCGAGCGCATCCCAGACTTCTGACTTCAGTCCCATGCTTTTTTTTTTAGTGTAAACGGCTACAACGTATATACAGGATGTAGTGTAAATGGCTACAACGTATATGCAGGATGTCCCCAGAAGAATGTGCCAGACTTCGGGAGGGTATTCCTTATTAAAGTATGCCGATAGAACGTATAGAACATATTCATTAAGAAATCGGATTTTAATGGATTTAGTATCCCAGTTTTTATATTTACCAGAAACATTATTATAGATTGCAGCATCCCCCACTGCATACTCTTATTCCATCAATATTTGTACTTGTAGCTGCCTTTCCGGAAATTACTCCAGATAATAAAATCATGTGCTTTGCGAGAAATTTATTCTTAGTAATTTATCCTTGAAATTTCGCATTAATTTGTAACAATTGTTTATAAAATATGAAATATTGTGTTTGTCGCCAGATAGTGAACCAGTCAGTCTCCCTCTTCATGTTTCTACTCACCATGAAGGACAAGAGTGAAGAAACTGTCACGGAGTAGCCTACTCAGCAACAGAAACTGGAAACTGTGTCTGCTCCTCACTGCAATATTTATTGTGATCTGTCCCCTCATACTCATTTACAGATTCCACTGTTGGTACAAGGAATTGCACAATGCTTCAGGAGAACTATTATTTTTGACAAAGTATAAAAAGCAGCCCCTCACTGTTAGTAATTACACGGAACCGAGGTCACAATTCATAAAAATTTTGCAAACGTTTGCTCATTTGCGTCAAACTACACTTAAAAGAAAAAGGAAAATATGCAAGAAATGTGTTCCACAACTTACACATTCAACAAGCAGGAAACTACATTACTTAAGTACTCTACAATATCAACCTAATAATGGCATCTTCTTCTCATAATATAAAAAACACAGGACAACTTGATTCTCTCCGCTTTAGAGAACGATATTTACTGCAATACAAATGTAATATACAGTATCTGTATTAATTTTGTAATAACACAGCATCAAGTGCTTGTATGGACAGAGCCATTTCCTTTCTTATTCTCTTGTTTATATTTTGTGATGATTTGTCCAACACTTAGGTAAACATCAAACTCGTGAGTTTCCACGTTAGTAATTACATACTGAAACAAATCATGCGAGTGAGTTACCTGATGTAATATTTAAAGTTAGCACAATTTATAAATAATACGTTCATCTACACTTCATCAATTTCAGGGAACACATGTCCCTTCCAAGGAACATATGTCTGCCTGTCCTCTGTCCATTGGTCCATCCACTTAATGAATGGTATAATCACAAGATTCCAACATCGTGAAATTCTGTACGATCAACAGGGAGCCAACGTCCTTCACACAATTACACCCATGTCAGTGTGCATTTGAGAATTTAACAGAACTCGATTATTATGAATACTGAAACATTTAATACTATCTATACACGATACATGACTTGGGGAGTTCAAAGAAACCCAGGTGGCATGTACGTGATTTTGAGTGTCTGTTTCGTCTCAGGGAATCCTTCACTTGGGAAGACCAGCCGACCAGAGATCCTCACACCGGACACCGTACATTGGCGGGGTGGATACCGCACCTTCAGAAACTTACGAAATATTCCTTCGCATTCACAGCTTTCTATCATCTAGTACAACCAGGGATACGATCTCTGTATCTCATGAACTGACATACAGCGAGTAGTACCCTTTTCACAATTTCAGCAGTCCGGAATACGAACTCGCAATTCTCTTGCAGGTAATTCCGTACTTATACCTCCTGAACTTTTATTATAATCATCTTCCTATAGAAGCCGTGGAATTGAAGAAAGCCAAAAGTGAGTTTCAATAGGATTGAAACTGTCATTGATCACGATAAAGTAAGTTGTACCTTACACAGAAATTATTGTTAAACAGAAGTGCTCCAAAAGAAACTAAGACCTAGTAACTTCTTAACCGTTCAGCGTGTTTTGCCGTACATGGTACGCCAAGTTGTGGGCTCAATTTCGAAGGCCCATAAATATTGAATGAACCATGCCAGCATGATGACGATTACACTGGGCTGTTGTGAAAAGAATGCGCTCTCTGTTCGTGTAAACATAACATTCAATTTCCTGCAGCTCTGCCAGTCAGTCTAAATAGAACGCTGGCCTTAAAGTTACGTTGGATGCGTGACTATGTTATCAACATAACACAAAGACGATATGCGTGTGGTTGTGAATAAAACAAACAAACACGAAACAAAGCCCTTGGTTGTTTGTGATTCCAACAGAAACATGCTAGGAGTGGATCTGACGGATCAAATGCTACAGCCGTACTTTCTTGAGCGAAAGAAGAGTACTAAGTGGTATCAGAAGTTATAAGAGGCTACTCAATGTAGCAATACATAACGCTATGGTCATACATCGTTGTCTCCCGAATAACAAAAACATGGGCACGCTGAAGTTCAGACTTTCTCTAACACAAGGCCTCGTGGAAAATCACGGTTCTGGGTTTCCTCATCCTGTACACGGCCGTCCGTCAGTTGATCCGCCGCCTAAAACTCACAGAACGACATATCCTAGAGCGTATTCCAGCCAAAGGAAAAAAGCAAAGCCTAAAAAAAGATGTGTGGTGTGCGCAAAACATGGTAAAAGGAAAGAATTTAAATTTGGTGTAGTGAATGTGAGGTAGGGTTGTATTTAGATTGATGTTTCAAGAAATACCATACGAAACTCAAATTCTAATCCACTTGCTACCATCGCTCAGATACAGGGTGCTCATATTATAGGGTAAGATTATAAAACCATCTTTTAAGCTGATTTCAGTGAAAATTCATAATTATACCGCATATAGTTCAAAAGTTATGATACATAATATAATTTAGAGCAAAATTTAAATGGGCAATTAAAAAATACTACCGCAGGCGGCCCCATAACAGCGATATTTAAATACCCACGCTGAAAGGTTAAAATCAATGGACATTTTGTCATATATGACCCCCGTTCAATTATTGTAACTTTTAAATGTGTAACCATTTGATATTAAGAATAATTTGCATATAAGCAGTCCTAAAGGGACCACACACGGTGTTATCTCGAGCTAGACGGTTCGGCATGCGGCCTCACCCCCTTCACCAGTCTCTTCGAGGGCGCATAGCCACCTAAAACAACACTGTAGCACGTGTGGTTCTTTGGGAACAAAGCCCGATGCTGGCAGATAGAAGGCAGCTCGCAAGAGGCGAGGGTCGTCGTTCTCAATGTAACATTTCTATGTATCTTTCTTCATTCTTTTTCTTCTTCAATAAACTTGGTTAATAATATTATCAACGTGTGGAGTGTGGTCTGTTTAATCTTGGGCCCTAGCGTCAGCTCCTGCACCAAGACGAACCCCTGACTCTCAGTGGCACTAGTGAGAGTTTTTAGTAACAAGTACGCGGCGGCGGCGGGAACTGCCACCCCCACCGGCGCCGGGTAAACGCGTTACAATTTAGAAGTACATTACTTATTCAGTTCACGATCTGGGCAGTTCCAGTATTAGTGGACATTGTCGTACAGTGGGGGCCAAATGACAACTGAGTCCTGAAACAACAATTAGACTACGTTTCAAATCGACAGATATATTTTTGGAAATAACACGACCGTTTTCCTGTTTATAATCAATTTCCGTCATATTTTTCATTTATATCTTCAATTATCATAAATAATTATTTTCGCACGTTACGGAACATTTGGATCTGGAATAAGTTAGTTATACATTGATTAGCTTCCTCGCTGATCTGTTATGTAACATTTCTTCATTATCAATATAAAAAACGCGCAGTTTACTGACGACTAAACAGTGTACGTTATCATATATAACTGTTTCTGCACTACATAAACATTGCATGGGAAAGAGCATGTTAAAGTAGGCGACATATCGGTTTCCCTATAGTCTTGTGCAAGGTCGCGCCATAGCTCAAGCGATTAGTCGCTGGCTTCCCACCGCGGTGTCCCGGGTTCAATCGCGGGTCTGGTCAAATGGGATTTGTGGTGGACAAAGTGGAACTGGAGCAGGTTTTCTCCGAATACTTCGGTTTCCCTTCCCAATCTTCATTCCACCAATTTCTCCACAATCACCCTCACCTATCACATCTGAGGCTGGTACAATAGGCCAGAAGCGGCCGCAGTACAAGGGACTTAGTCCCACCCCACTAGCAATAAAAATCCTCTTCTGTATACGCGAGGAGGGGTCACACTGCTTCCACTTGGTATGCAGTGCACTTATGGGTCCAGTGTGCCACCTCTGGTTGACAGATGAATATGGATCGGTCATTGCAATGTGAAATGGCAAAGAAACTAATGTACTTACGGAAAACCGGAACGGGTGCTACGTGTCTCACCACAAATCCCACATAACATGCAGTTAGTTGGAAGGAGACCCGAAACAGTGGGAAACCGGCTACTAACCACCTGGTCAATTAAACCAATATGTTCTGTGTCACCGAGTTCTGGAGTAACTGGTTGCTGCATTTCAGCATAAATGGAAAGATTCTAGGTACTTACTTACTTACTTACTTACTTACTTACTCAAGGAGCAGAGCTCTCCTTGAGGAAAAGGCAAATCTGCAACTACTCAAGAGTTTCCCAGCATTTTATGGAACCTAAATGTTCATTACTATGTTCACAAGAGCCCTCCACTGGTCTCTATCCCGAGCCAGAACAATCCAATCCATACCATCCTATCCTATTTCTGTAAGGTCCATTTTAATATTGTCCACCCACCTACGACTTGGTGTTTCCAGTGTCTCTTTCCTTCTGGCTTTCCCAACAACATCCTATATGCATTTCTCTCCTCCCCCATTCTTGTTACATGCCCTGCCCACCTCATCCACCTAAACTTTATCATTCTAATTATATTTGGAGAAGAGTAAAAGTTATTAAGCTACTCATTATTGCAATTTTCTCCAACCTCCTGTCACTTCATCCCTCTTCGGTCCAAATATTCTCGGACACCCTCAGTCTATATTCCTCCCTTAATGTCAGAGACCAAGTTTCACACCCATACAGAACCACAGGCAAAATTATGGTTTTGTATATTCTAATTTTTATGTCTTTGACAGCAGACGAGAAGACAACAGTTTCAGGACTGAATGGTAGCAAGCATTACCCGAGTTAAATTTTCTTCTTAAAGTCCTCCTCAATCAGGTTTTGATTTGTTATTGTCGTTCTCAAATATCTGAACTGTGCCACATTCTATCGTTATGTCATGATTTTTCCATGCATTTTGGTGACGAGATAGCAACATATAGGAAAATTCTAGGTAAAAAGTGTAAGTAAAGTGAAGCTAGCCCTGTAACAGGCCGTGAAGGCCCATGGGGTTACGAGACGTTGAGGGTCCCACATTATCTAGACAATCGGCTCAAAGATGGCGGTAATTTTGTCAGTCTTACACGCCGGCCGCGCTTTATTTCCAGGAAAATTATTTAATTAATCCCTGTTACTCATTTCTGTTTGAGGCTGAGTCGACCCCAGGGCCCTACTGCTGCAGGAAGGATTATGTCAATTAAAAAAAAATCCAGTGA